CAAGGACACGTCATCCAGGATGAGCCCAAAGGTGGCTGCTCGCTCTGTAAGATCGTCGCTCACCTGCCTGGAGACCAGCTCTCTCTGGGTGATTAGTTCTCCAGCATCAAAGCGAGCCACCACTGACTTGAGGATCTCGGTCGTGATGGACGGCAACACACGCTCCTCATAGTCCTCTCCGATGCTGGTGAAGATGCGAGGAAGCTGGCTAGCGACGGGCCGGAAGAGGATGCGCAGTGTGATGTTGACATTTTGTAAATCTTTGCTACCAGTGATGACCGGCACATTACGTGGTCGAGAACGGCAGTCAAAGATAATTGGTTTCTGTACCCATGGGATGAGAAAGTGAGTCCCTTCCTCTACCACAATGTCCTGTACTCCATGGAACCGGTCAAAGATGACAGCTCTGTGCTCAGCCTCCACATTATATAAGGCAGAGTTCACCACGCCTCCTGCAACAGCTAAGGCCAGGCCAAACTTGCCAATGGACTCAAACACTTTGGCAGCCATGTTTTCTTCTGCTGGACCCTCTCACACCTGCTTCCACTCTGACCTCCACATGAATTTCCCCGAAAGCATTTTCTCCAGAGAATTTGACAATCCCACCAAAAAATAAAAATAAAAAAAAAAAATAACGCAGAGCCAGATACCTCTGTAGGGACTCTCAGACCTCCCAGGCCCCACCTGGGTACTCAGAGGCTTCCCATCAGGCTGCAGTGTTCCATTCTAAAACATGAACAGGCAACTCAAGGACATCAGACATCTGACAAAAGGCCCTAAGCCGAAAGATAGGGATCAAAGCTAATAAGCAGAAAAAAGCAAATTGGAGGAACCAGGATGTATACAAGAAAAAGAAAACTTAAAATATATATACACATATATATATAATGCTCAGAGAGATAAGAGACGATGCATTCATTTAAGAACAGAGAACAAGATGCCATAAAAGAAATTTCAAAGAACAACCGAGATCACTTAGCAATTAAAAAGGAAAGTGAAAATTGAAAGAAAAGAGATAAGAAAATTAGAGTATCAACCAGAAAGTCTGACATCCAAATAATAAGAGTCCCAGAAAAAAGCAGACAAAAAGGAGAGAGAAAATTGTCAAATAGTTCAGGGAAATTGCCCAGTACAGAAGGATCTGAGTTTCCAGACTCGAAGAGCCCAGCAAGGGTTCAGTAAAACAGATGAAAACATGACCATATACAGACAGTTATTGAAAAATTTTAGAACATCGGGTTCAAAGAGAAGACCCCACAAGCTCCCAGAAAGGAAGACAAAAAAATCACACAAAGATCAGAAATCAAAATAGTGTCAGTCTATTCCGGGGGAACTACTCCAGCAACATTTTCTGTGAAGGGCCAGATAGAAAGCAATATTTTTAGACTTTGCAGGCCACATACAATCTGTTGCATTTTCTTTTTTGTTTTGTTTTGGAACCTTTTTTTTTTTTGGTTGGTTGGTTGGTTAGTTGGTTGGTTGGTTGGTTGGCTTTTACCATCCTTAAAAATGTAAAAAACATTTTTAGCTCACAGGCCATACAAAAATAGGCCACAGGTGAGGTAGCAGGTGAGACTCAACTCTAGAGGTGGGGCTCAGACACTGTACCAGATTCAAGACTAGCTAAAACAGAGCCAGTGCAGAAGCAGCTTTCAATCAGACATGCCCACCAATGTGCCATGTCAATTTACCATTGCCATGGCAACACCTGGGAGTTACTGCCCTTTTCCATAGCAATGACCCAATGATCCAAAAATTTCTACCCCTTTCCTAGAAATTTCAGCATAAACTGCCCCTTTTTCTGCATGCAATTTAAAGCAGGTATAAATATGACTGCAAAACTGCCCTGAGCTGCTACTCTCTGCCTACCAGTTAGCCCTGCTTTGCAAGAGCAGTCACAGAGCTGTAATACCACCAGAGCTGTAACACTGCCTGTTCAATAGAGCTGTTTTTCTTCTACCTCTGGCTTGCCCTTGAATTATTTTCTGGGCAAAGCCAAGAACCCTCATAGGCTAAACTCCACTTCAGGCTCGCCTGCCCTGCATCACAGGGATGTAGCTTGCTGACTTCAGTCTAGTCAACAGCAACACTGGATTCCAGATGACAGTGGAGCAATGCATGCAGTAGCCTGAGGAAAAATTATTTCCAACCTCTAGCTCTATACCCAGCCAAACTATCCATTAATCTCACAGTAAAAAGACATATTTAGTCATATAAGTTCTCCAAAAATATTTCATCTAAGCACCATCTTTCAGAACACTACTGAGGCATATGTGTTACCAAAAGGAGAACATAAGTTGAAAAGAGAAAGAAAATGCCATTACAAAATCTGGGACCAAATAAGAGAAAGATCAAGGAAATCCACAGTGTGGTCCTGAAGACAGCTCTCAGATAGGAATCCATGCCAGATTAGAGCAGGTTCAAAACTTCAGAAGAAATTTCTTCCAAAAGATGGAATTCACAGAATGCCTAATACAACTAAATATATTGAAAGGAGATTTAGACAAATGGCCAAAAGTTCGGGAGGAATTACAGATAAATGTAACAAAAACTTAGAAAATAAAAGATAATTATTAACCTCAGAGGAAAGAAAAGTTGTGCAAGAAAGTTTAAAAAAATCACAGAATACCAAATATCTCAGATGTGGACAGCATTTACGTGGTCATAATATAAGCAATGGCTACCTAATCTCGAAAATTACAATGTATTAGGATGACAGAGGAATGTGACAGAAAAGGAAAGTAAAAGGAAGCCACATCCTTATATAGCAGGAAGTCCATATGTATGTTTCAAAAAATTAAAATAGCCGTATTTTATATATTTTATATAACAATATGCAATACTAAATTAAATTAGTCGGTGAAAGCCATTGAAATGGTTACCTTTGAATTTAGGGAAATGGAGGCAGTTATTTAAACATTTAAAACTAAATGATAAATAGTGTTCCCTACACTGACTTGTCTATATTTAAACACTTTCTATTTTAAAACTTTTATTTTTAAGGAGCATTCTTCACATATCAGTACAAAGTGTTGTCAAATACAGCTTGCCTACATCTTCAAAGTTGTATCATAAAGAATACTAAAATATTTTGAGATTTTTTTACATTAGTAGAAATATTTAAAGAGATATTGTTAATCAACTTCTTAAACAATCAGAAGTCCCAGAATCTTGCTTCACTGATTTCACCCTCCTATTTTCCTCCAATATGCTTTACTCGTCTGTAAAATCCAGCTGGTCTGGTTTCTTGGGGTCACAAGGAAAAGACACACACAGATTCTTCACAACAGGAATTTGTTGCAAGAATAAACAGGAACATAAGGAAGAAGCAGAAAGTGCCTCATCAGCACAATCACCCTGTGTATTGGATATTTGTCATATTTTGGCCACCAAGCATCTGAAACACATCCTATATTGGGAAAACTTTTATTTTTATGGAGAGTCAATAGAACACAAAAGCTGCCTCCACTGTAGCCTGAAAATACCACATACAGTTGACCCTTGGACCACCGGGCTTAGGGGTACTGACTGCCCCGTACACGGTCAAAAATCCACATCTAACTTTTGACTCCCCCACAACGTAAGTACTAATAGCTTACTGTTAACCAGAAGCCTTACCAGTAACATAAACAGTCTATTAACGAATATTTTTTATGGTATGTGTAATATATGTATATATAAAATATATATTTTTTCTTTTCTCTAGCTTACTTTATTGTAAGAGTACTCTCTCTCTAATATATATAATATATACATAATATATTATATATAATATTTATTATTTATATATCTAATATATAAGATATATCTAATATATCTAATAAATATTAGATATATTATGTATATATCATATATATATTAGAGAGAGAGAGCACTCTTACAATAAAGTACGCTAGAGAAAAGAAAATATTATTAAGAAAACCATAAGAAAGAGAAAATGTATTTACTGTTCATTAGGTGGAAGTGGATCACCATAAGGGTCTTCATCCTCGTCATCTTCACATTGAGATGGCTAAGGAAGTGGAGGAGGAGAGGCTAGTCTTGCTGTCTCGGGGGTGGCCGAGGTTGAAGAAAACCCATGTGTAAGTGGACCCATGGAGTTCAAATTCACACTGTTCAAAACATGTTGTTCAAGGCTCAACTGTACACACCTTCCCAGACTCCCTTGCACAGCTCTCTAATCCTCAAAACAATTGTTTGAGCTCCCCAATACCTCTTGAATGCAACCCTCTTCTGTGTAAATAAGCCAGAATTGATTTTCATCACTTCTGCTTTAGAAGTCTATTGTATTCATTTCTGGAACTTGGAAGTTGACATCAGTCTGTTCTTAAATGTAGAATCAGCTGATTGAAGGATGGAGGATGGAGGAGAAGGATGGAGGGATTTGAGGATCCCTGTCTCTCCAGAGGATTAGTTTATAACCCTTGTCACATACTAAGGTTTTCTTTTTTTTAATGGGAAAATTTCAGATCTGGGCATGTTTTGGCAATCTCTTGCAGCTTTTGGTGAGGTACTATAAGAAAGAGATAAGTTTAATATCCAATATAAAAGAGTAAAGAAAATACAACTTTGCTAATAAAGGCCCTTTCAGTTACCCAAAAGTCCAATAATTTTGAGTCTTTCAAATTTCAAGAAACCAAATTCTCTACCCCAGGCCAATGGTAGCCCAGCAGAGATATTGAAACTAAACCTTAGAAGGAGTAAAGATCACAGTTACAGGGAAGATTCAGTGCTCAGGCCTCAGCTCAACAAACACGGAACTTTCTCTGTAAAAAATACAGCCAGGGGACAAAGATATGAACTGATCTAGTGCTTCTTCATCTAAGGCCATTGCTTTTAATTGCATCAGGGTGGAGCTCATTAAGTTGAGAATCACAAAAGTGAGCAGATCAGAGTTCTGTAGAACCCAAGGCATCACAGACAGTTAAAAAGGGATCCGCACCACATTTACTTTCTGTTTGATCCTCTCTTCCCCCAAAGTCTTGTCTTTTTCTCCATGTGTTGGCTTTATTTTTTTCTCACTACAAAAGGATCTCCTCCACACACTTTTTCAATTAATATTCAAAAAATCCTGGAGGAAGGCTATGATTGGCCCAGGTTGGGCCACACCCAGTGCTCACACTTGGACTGATTAATTTTAGCCAGATGTCCTGGAAACTGCAATTGGTCCAATCTTTGACTGTGATGGGGGCGGACTAGAAGAGGCCATCACTGGAAAGGAGGATGGTGAAAGCAATATCAGATGGTCTCACTTAATTCTGAAAACAGCCCTGCAAGGTATGTACCACTTTTTCTTGGTAACTTATATTGTTATATCTGTTGTAAAGAAGAATGTTACACTTATAGAAGTCAAACTCCTCATGAATGTAGACGTAGTAAAATGAAGAGCCAGGATTCAGACCCAAATCTATCTAATACCACAGCTCATGTTCTTAAACTTCTTCTTTACCAGTGCATCTGAGGGTTGTGTTATTGTTGCAAAACGTTTCAAAAATAAATTTCAATAAATGATGATGGAGGTCTATTCTCACTAATGACAAGATTTTTGCAATTCCCCTGGGCTTTTTCTTC